TCATATTTGAAGTTATCAGATATCATGCTGTCTCCTCAGGTTATATCTGCTAAGCAGTGGGGAGGAGCTGACCTTCAGGAAGAGCCAAAGGTGAAAACTTGGATTTCTCAATCAGCAAGCTACCTTTGTTCTAAAGGAGGGTGATTGTCCTTTTGGGAGGACATGCAAATTTGAGTCATAGAATGGAACCTTTCATAGGAGAGGGCAGAGAGTATGCTGCAGGGTACTCAGGGATTTAGGAAGCAAGAAGACTGGCAGCAAACAACTGGAATTTGGAAATACAGTAGATGAGGAGAGAGAGAGAGAGAGAGAGAGAGAGAGAGAGAGAGAGAGAGAGAGAGAGAGAGAGAGAGAGAGAGAGAGAGGGAGAGAGAGAGAGAGAGAGAGGGAGGGAGGGAGAGAGAGAGAGGGAGGGAGGGAGGGAGGGAGAGAGAGAGAGAGAGAGAGAGAGAAAAACTTTAGAAGCCCCCTTTAGCCCAGAGCCAGGACTTAGCTTCCCTGCTCTACTAACCCGGGGCTTGTTGAGCCTCTGGATTGGGAAGGAAGGCATATCATTCCCATCCTGTGATAGTTTGAGAGGAATTCTGGCCTTGGGTAGCCCTTTTTTCTTCTGCCCCTATTGATTGTAGGAAACCATGGAAAGACTTGTACAGAATAATGAAGAGTGAAATGAGCAGAACCAAGAGAATGTTGTATATAGTAACAGCAATATTGTTTTAAGAACAACTTTGAGCAACTAAGTCATTTTGACTATTATAAATACCCAAATTAACTATAAAGGACATATGAAGGAGGATACTATCAGTATCCAAAAAAAGAACTGATAAATAAAAATATGTATAGACTGATTTTGTGTATACACACACACACACACACACACACACACACATCTATTTGTGTCTAATGGTAGCCATCTCAAGGGTGGAGGGAGGGGGAAGAAAGAAAAAAAAGGAAAAAATTCACAATAACTTTATTATATTTTTTAAAAGGATTAGCAAGTTGTATACAATAGATTTGCAGTTTCATATGCAATCATCTTTTTTTAAAAAATTCTACTATGTTATAGAAATGCTTGTTTTATTTCATAAATTAAAATGAAATAAATAAAAAATTTTAAAAATATAAAAAAAACACAGGTGGACAAGAAGCCAAAGCATAAACCACAGGCTCTCTTTCCCCCACAATTAGCTTTTCCTCAGGGGTCAAGTTAACATGCTAGCTAGCATTTATTATGTGTCAAGCAAGGCGCTAAGCACAAGAAAGGCTAAAAGTGCCCTCAAAGAGCTCACATACTAATAGGGGAGACTGCACACAAACAACTATGTACAAACAACAACTGTGTAAACATAGATGCATACATACACACAATCATATACATAATGCACATATGTGCATGCACACACACGTTTGTGTGTGTATAAAATTGGCAGCAATCTCAGAGGAAAGGCAGTCATATTGAGGGGAATTCGGAAAGACTTCTTGCAGATAGGGTTTGAGCTGAGACTTGGCAGAGATGAGGAGGAAGAGCATTCCAGGCCTGGGGGACAGTGAATGAAATGCTCAGAGCAGGGATGGAGGTCAGCAAGAAGGCCAGTGTCTCTAGGTCACCAAGTAATCAGGGAAGAGAAGTGTTAGGAGATGGGGAAAGGAGGGAGGGGCCAAGATGTGAAAGACCTTAAAAGACAAACAGAAAATTTTATATTGGATCCTGGAGCCAGTAGGTAGTCACTGGAGTTGATTCAGCTTTAGGAAGGTCACTTTGGCAGCTGAGGGAGGATGCACTGGAGCAGGGAGAGACTGGAGGACTTTCATAACCAGCCTGCCCTTCTTACGCCTTATTCTCTTCCATGGTAACAGTGACATTGGCCTTCTTGCTATTCCTCACCCAAGACTCTCCATCTCCCTCCTGTGGACATTTTCCCTGACTCCCCACCATCATTGTCATTCTCTCCCTCTGTCTCTGCCTCCTGGTTTCCCTGGCTTCCTTCATATCTCAGATCAAATCCTACCTTCCATAAGAAGCTTTTCCCAATCCCCCTTAATTCTGCTGTTTATCTCCAATTTATCCTGCCTTGTATAGCTCGTATGTACAGAGTGATTTCCATGTTGTCTCCTCAACCAGGATGTAAATTCCTAGAGTGCAGGGACTGTTTCTGCTTTTATTTGCATGCTGCTTAGCACATAGTAGGTATTTAATAAATGCTGTTGACTTGACGTAAGGAGACCAATCAGAGGACTATGGCAGTATTCCAAACATAATGTGATTATGGTCTTCACCACAGTGATAATAGTGTCAGAGGAAAGAAGACAGTGTATATAAACAATGTGGAGGTAGACTTAATAGGCCTTGGCAATAGAATGGATATGGGAGTGAGGTAAAAGTAATAGTTGAGGATGATCCCCAGGTTGTAAGCCTGGGTGACTGGGAGGATGTTGGCGGCCTCAACAGTAATAAGGAAGTTAGGAAGAAGAGATGTTTTGGGGTGGAGAGATAATAACGTCCATTATGGACAAGTTGAGTTTATGATACCTACAGGTCATCCAGTTTGAGATGTCCAATATAAAGTTGGAGATGAGGACAGAGCCTTGGGGGATCACATGGTTAGTGGACGTGACCACGATGCAGATTCAGCAAAGAAGTCTGAAGAGAGTTCAGACAGGCAAGAGGAGGACCAGGAGAGAGTGTGAGGGAGAAGAGAGTGAGTGATTGTGTCAAAGGTCACAGAGAAGTCAAGGATAGGATTGAGAAAAAGCGGTTAGGTTTTTCAATTAAGCAATCACTGTTAGCTTTGGAGAGAGCAGTTTCAGTTGGTTGATGAGGTCAGAAGCCAGACTCCAGAAAGTTAAGAGGAGAGTGAGAGGAAAAGAAGTGGAGGCATCTATTGTAGATGGCTTTCTCAAAGAGTTTAGTCACAAAAGGGAGAAAAGATGTAGGATGATAGCTGGTAGGGAGGACAAGCTAAGTGAAATTTTTCTTTCTTTTTTTTTAAACTATAATTAATTTATTTTTAGTTTTCAACATTCACTTCCATAAGATTTTGCGTTCCAAATTTTCTCCCAATCTCGTCCCTCCCCCACCCCAAAATGGCATGTATTATGAATACCCCTAATCTGCCCTCCCTTCTATCTCTCTCCCCCTTCTCTTATCCCCTTCTCCTTCAATTTTCCTATACGGCAGGATCAATTTTTATACCCCATTTCCTGTATATCTTATTTCCCAGTTGCACGTGAAAACAAATTTTTTTTTAACTTTTGTTTTTAAAATTTTGGATTCCAAATTTTCTCCCTTCCTCCCTCCCCACTCACCCTCATTGAGAAGACAAGCAACTAGATACAGGTTATACATGTGTAGTCATGCAAAACACTTCCATAGTAGTCATGTAGTGAAAAACTAAACTTATAGTGAAAAACTATATTTTCCTCCATCCTATCCCACTCCCCATTTATTCCATTCTCTCTTTTAACCCTGTCCCTCTTTAGAAGTATTTGCTTCTGATTACCCCCTCCCCTAATCTGCCCTCCCCTCTATCATCCTCCTGTTCTCTTGTCCCCTTGCCCCCCTATTTTCTGTAGGGTAAGATAAATTTCCATACCCAATTAAGTGTGTATGTTATTCTCTCCTTAAGCCAAATCCGATGAGAATAAGATTCACTCATTCCCTCTCACCTTCCCGTTTCCCCTCCACTGTAAAAGCCTTTTCTTGTCTGTTTTATGTGAGATAATTTACCCCATTCTACCTCTTCCTTTCTCCTTCTCCCAGTATCATTCTCTCTCACCCCTTAATTTTATTCTCCAGATATCCCCCCTTCATCTTCAACTCACCCTGTGCCCTCTATCTGTCTATCTATCTATCCATACATATAATTTTTTCCCTCCAACTATTCTAATACTGACAAAGGACTCATGAGTTACAAATATCATCTTTCCATGCAGGAATGTAAACAGTTGAACCTTAATAAGTCTCTTATGATTTCTCTTTCCTGTTTACCTCTTCATGTTTCTCTTGAGTCTTGTATCTGAAAGTCAATTTTTTTTGTTCAGCTCTGATCTTTTCATCAAGAATGCTTGAAAGTCCTCTATTTCACTGAATATCCATTTTTCCCCCTGAAGGATTATGCTCAGTTTTGCTGGGTAAGTGATTCTTGGTTGTAATCCTATCTCCTTTGCCCTCCAGAATATTCTGTTCCAAGCCCTGCAGTCCCTTAATGTAGAAGCTGCTAAATCTTATGTCATCCTGATTGTGTTTCCACAATACTTGAATTGTTTCTTTCTGGCTACTTGCAATATTTTCTCCTTGACCTGGGAACTCTGGAATTTGGCTACAATATTCCTAGGATTTTTCCTTTGAGGATCTCTTTCAGGAGGTGATTGTGGATTCTTTCAATTTCTATTTTGCCCTCTAGTTCAAAAATATCAGGGCAGTTTTCCTTGATAATTTCTTTTTTTTTTTAAATACACAATCCAGAATTTATTACAAACCAGGGTTCCCCCGCTGTGCCCCACTGGGCACCCGAGCAATAAATAACCGGAGAGGGCACAGCTTCAGGGGATGGGGGAGGGGTGGAGTTAAAAAACAAAGTGACCACTAGCCAGGCCAACTCCAGATCCACCTCGCCTCCCTATGACTCTTGGGATGGGGGCCAAGCAGCTAGCCTTGCTCCCCAGTGCAGTACAATGGGCAGTAGGGCCAAGGCAGCCAAGGCCCCCCAGGAAAGGAGACAGCTCATAGGATCATTTATTTCAAGCCCTTAAAGACCCCAGTGCCTGTTTCACCCTCCCCATCCCCCAGAGGGGGTGAGGGGAACTGGGGAAAAAAGCACCCAAAAAAGGCACCTGAGGGAGGGGGGTACATGGCAGGGGGACACAGTGGGAGCCCAGTGGGCAGCGGAGAAGGGCAACCTGGCCTAGTGTGGTGAAGGGGGAGGGGTAAGAGAGGGGGGCCTGCCCCCCTTCCCGTGCCCCTGCCCTCAGCAGCAGGGACACCCTGCCCAGCCCAGTCCTCAGCTCAGGATCTTCTTGGGCAGCTCGACAGAAGCACGGATGAACACAGCATCATCACGCACAAAGTTGCGCTTGCGGCTGTCCTGGTGGGAGATGAACTTGGGACAGCCAAAACCCAGGGCGCTCTGTCCACAGAGCCCCTCCAGGTGCCAGGCTTCTGGAAGTTCTTCCAGTTGGGGTCTGGATGGAAGGTGTCCATGATGTGCTGGGGTTTGGTGACCGTCGGGTCGCTCTGGTCCAGCAGTGTACCAGCTGCGCCGACCTTATGCCGGCCGCGCCAAACACTCCTCCTATAGGGAGCAGGCTGCCAGAGTCATACTCACTCACCAGTCTTTGGTCCTCAACTGGATAAACACACAGAGACGAGCCATCAGGAGGCGCCAACACCAGAGCTTTATTCAGAGGCCATCACAGCAAGCCATCACAGCAAGGCCAAGCAGGAAGGCCAGAGCAACAGAGCAGGAGCAAAAAGAGAGCGCGTGATCTGACCACGCTCGTTCCTTAAGTACCTACTTAGCCCCTCCTCCCCAGCCCGCTTACTAGCGAATGATTGTAGGGTCAGATACCGGAAGGGGCTGTCTGAGTTTAGCACACCAAGGGGGAGGGAGTGACGCAGGAGGCTAGGACCGGATACAGGAAGGAGGCGTCTGGGATTAGTGCATAGACAGAGTAGTCAGGAAGGACACAGGAAGGAGGCGTCTGGGGTCAGTGCTACACAAAGGGACCCAGGAAGTCAGGAAGGTCACAGGAAGGAGGTGTCTGGGGTTGACGTTGCATATAGGGAGGGGACTAAGCAAAGGGAACTCATCCTCTGCTGTCCCACTCCCACGTGGCACTGCCCCTTGCCTCAGGAGCACAAGCTCCGGCTACTTCCTTGCACCCAGCTTATCTCACATAGCACTGCCCACTGCCTCAGGGCTTCTCCGTACCCAGCCCATCCCAGTCCACCATGACTCCGCCTACCACAGCCCCTGCCTCGACTTCCAAATACCCAGATCTTACCCTAATCTTGCCACAGCAATCACCTGACAGTTGCCAACATCAGACAGTCCCTCACACAGCAGGGAGAAGGTGACCCGTCGTGCAAAGGTTGTCAAAGGCGTCGGGCAGCACTCGGATGTACAGCGACAGATGGGTGCCCTCCCCGCTGCTGTTGCCATTGAGGAAGGCCGACACCTGGAGCTTGTAGCCATACTTGTGGGTGTAGAAGGCCGGGCTGAAGCATTCGTGGTTGGAGCAAGCTTTGGCTTCCTGAAGGCAGCGCCCATAGCCACCGATCTTCCAGATCAGGACGCCGTCGCAGTCCACCGACATGTCCCTTGGAAGCTCCTGCTGCTCCTGCCGCTGCCGACTCACCAAGGTGCACATCATAGCCAGGTGGGGTTTCACGCTCTCCTCCATGTGGCAGCTCATCGCCAGCTTAGGGCACCAGTGTTTGCAGCCAGCATCTTTGAACAGGCACAGAACGGGGGCCGAGCTGCAGTTTTCTTTCAGGTGGTTAGACAGGTCCTCTTGAGGAATGCTCCCCATTCCACACTGGTTGGGGCATGGTAAAGGATAGCGGGGGCACTGGTGCTGGTGGTTCTGGATGGTATCAAAGACAAACTCCTTGGTGCAGTAGGCACAAGGCTGGGTCCGCTTGGGACACTCCGTTATCATGTGTTGCCCCAGCAGCCGCGGCATCATTTGGGCCCCACACTTGTTCTCACAGTACACACTCTCCTGTGGGCAGACCCCCTCGTGGCTCTCATAGGCTTCTCCCGTGAAGTTGATGCCACAGAAGTCACGCTTGAGCCTCCTCTTGGGGCATTCGTGGTGAAGGTGGGTAGGCAAGTCCCTATGGCTCAGCTTGGCACTGCAGCGGTTGGGGCAAGAGACCACGTTATAACAGCAGGAGCTCAGATGGACCTGCAGGTGGTGTAAGCGGCAGCCCTCCTCCCTGTGGATACAGTGGATGGCCAGGCTCAACACCTGAACTTCCAGTTCTGGGTCTGGGTAGATCTTAGCATAGTCCAAAGGTAGCTGATCCTCAGGACACTTAAAAACTCCTTCACTGAGAAACTCCTGCAGGCCGGTGTCGCAAAAGCAGTGGCCACAGGTCGAGACCTGCACCTGCTCCCGCATGGCCTTCCTGCACAGCGGGCACAGTAGCTGCCACTTGGGCTTCTCCAGGAACTTATAGTAGAAGCCCGGCATGGTGCACGGCCAGGCGGCTGGGGTGACAGCCGGCGGCCCCCACAGCCAGCCAGCTCCCCAGCGAGGCAAGGCGCCACAAGCCCACTAGTTGATAATTTCTTGAAAGATGATGTGTAGGCTCTTTTTTTGATCATGGCTTTCAGATAGTCCAATAATTTTTAAATTCTCTCTCCTGGATCTATTTTCCAGATCAGTTGTTTTTCCAATGAGATATTTCACATTGTTTTCTATTTTTCATTCTTTTGAATTTGGTTTAAAGTGTCTTGATTTCTCATAAAGTCACTAGCTTCCAATTGCTCCATTCTAATTTTTAAGGAAGTATTTTCTTCAGTAAACTTTTGGATTTCCTTTTCCATTTGGCCAATTTTGCTTTTTAAGGCATTCTTCTCCTCATTGACTTTTTGGACCTCTTTTGCCAGTTGGATTAGGCTATTTTTTAAGGTGTTATTTTCTTCAGTATTTTTTTGGGTCTCCTTTAGCAAGTTGTTGACTTGTTTTTCATGATTTTCTTGCATCACTCTCAGTTTTTCCTCTACTTCTCTTACTTGCTTCTCAGAATCCTTTTTGAGCTCTTCCATGGCCTGGGATCAATTCATATTTTTCTTGGAGGCTTTGGATGTAGGAGCTTTGGCTGTGTTGTCTTCTTCTGGTTGTATATTTTGATCTTCTTTGTTACCAAGGAAATATTCTATGGTCTGACTTTTTATGCACCTTTGTTCATGATCCCAGACAATTACTTGAGCTTTAAACTCTTTGTTAAGGTAGGGGTCTGCTTCCAGTGTGGGGAATGTATTGTCCCAAACTTTGGGGGTTTTGTGTAGCTGTTTTCAGAGATACTTCTAGGGACCTGAAAATTTTCAGCTCTTCCAAGGTGCTATGATCAAGGGTGAGGTGTTTACTTTAGTTTAGTTAGTGGGTCCTGTGCAGCACTGGAGCCACTACTTTGCTCTGCAGCACCATGCCAAGGGGCAGTGACCCTGAGGGCACAGGGGTGTTGGGAGCAGCAGCAGCGGGTCACGATAGCCCATTTAGCTTCAGCCCAGAGCCCATACTGGAGGACATCTGTCACCTGCAGACAGTTTGCAGCTGAACGAGACTAGGACCAGTTCCATAAACCTCAGAACCTTCTTCTGGCCCTTGTTGGGGAAGTGGGAGAGCTTGCAGAGCTCTTTCAGTGGAAGCCTGATGGTGGGCCTGGACCCCTGTCCTGGTCTGAAGTGGAATGAGGGGCATTAGGGGAGGAGCTCAGTGATGTCCTTATCTATCTGGTAGCCCTGGTGTCATGCTGCCATATTGACTTGCCACAGACTGTGCTGGCCAAGATAGAGACTAACTGGTGCCACTACCCAGTCCACCTTGCCCATGGCTCTTCCTGCAAGTATATAGAGTTGCCCTGTGAAGACATACTGAAGGTCAAGAGCCCTGGTCCTGCCCCAGGAGCCACAGAAAGTGCACCTGTTTCTAGGGGAGCAGAGGAGACTCACTAAAGAATAGGACCTGTGGAACAGGGGTGGGAGTGTGGGCCTGGGTAGGGGCTGAAATTCATGGGACTGACTCCTATGATGCTGGTGAGGGACAGCCTGGAATGGGAACCCACTGGGAAATCAGGGACACAAAAGCCTTCCCAAATCCTTCTTCGATTGCTCTGGTCTATGAGTGACCACAAGCACTCTTTTCTGTCTTGGAACTGTGAGGAGGATTTCCTCTCCACCACTATTAGGAACTCTGCCACACTAGCATTCTTCCTCACCCCAGGACCGCCACCCAGAACTGTGACCCAGATCCAAGCATGGGCAAAGCAAGAGAATCCCGCACCAGCAGAGAGATCCCTGCAATCTCCCTCTGATCAGTCACTTGATTCCCCCTCAATCTGTGGGTTGGAAGCTCAGGAGGCAGCCGCTGCCCTGGGGTGAGCTCAGGGAATGGGGCTGGGACCAACCATGCGCTTCTCTCTCACCGCAGACACAGACTCTTCCTACTGACCTTTTAAGCTGTCTTTAGCATGGGTTGAGAAGTCTGGAAATTACCATAGCTGCCTGTGATTCAGTCCTCTGAGGACTGCTCCAGGTTCTCTGAGGCCTACATGCCTGCTCTGAACTGCGTTCCTCTCCTAGCCCTACACGATAGACCCCTCCAAAAAACCACCCAGGCTGTCGTGGACTGGAAATTTGTTTCACTCTGTCTTTTTGTGGGTTCTGCTGCTTTAGAATTTATTTAGAGCCATTTTTACAGGTATTTGGAGGGGTTTGGGGGAGAGCTCAAGCAAGTCACTGCTTTTACTCTGCCATCTTGGCTCCACACCCACAAAATTTTTCTAAAAATATATTTTACTTTCTCCCCAAGTGCACGTAAAAACAATTTTAACATTCTTTTAAAAAAAAAATTGAGTTCTAAATTCTATCCTTCCCTCTCTTTTCTATCCACTCCCTGAGACAGTTAGCAATCTGATATAGGTTATACATGTGCAATCATGTAAAACACATTTCCATATTAGTCATTTTTTTTTTGCTTTTTTGATGAGGCAATCAGGGTTAAGTGACTTGTCTAGAGTCACATGGCTAGTAAGTGTCAAGTGTCTGAGGCCATATTAGTCATTTTGTTGATGAAAATTCAAACAAAAAAAAAGATGAAAGAAGGAAAGAAAATGAAACAGTATACTTTGATCTGTATTCAGATGCTATCAGTTCTTTCCCTGGAGGTGGACAGCATTTTTCACCGGTATCTTTAGGATTGTCTTGGATCATTTTATTACTGAGAATAGCTAACTCATTCACAGTTGCTCATAACACAGTATTGCTGTTACTGTGTACAATGTTCTCCTGGCTCTGTTCACTTCATTCCATATCAGTTCATGTAAATCTGTCCAGGTTTTTCTGAAATAATCCTGTTCATCATTTCTTGTAGCAAAATCATATTCCATTATACTCATATACCAGAACTTGTTCAGCCATTCCCCAATTGATGGACATCCCCTCAGTTTCCAATTCTTAGCCATCAGAAAAAGAATTGCTACAAATATTTTTGCACAAATAGGGCAATTCCCTCCTTTTTTTGATCTCTTTGGAATATAGACCTAATAGTGGTATTACTAGATCAAAGTGTATGCACAGTTTTAGCATAGTTCCAAATTGCTCTCCAGAATAGTAAAATCAGTTGACAACTCCAACAGTGTATCAGTGTCCCAGTTTTCCCACATCTTCTCAAACATTTATCATTTTCCTTCTCTGTTATATGAGTCAATCTGATGGGTGTGAGGTAGTACCTCAGAGTTGGCTTAATTTGCATTTCTCTAATCAATAGGAATTTAGAGAAATTTTTTCATATGATAACTTTAATTACTTCATCTGAAAACTGCCTGTTCATATTACTTGACCATTTCTCAACTGGAGAATGACTTGTATTCTTATAAATTTGATTAAGTTCTTTATATATCTGAGAAAAGAGACCTTTATCAGAGATGCTTGTTGCAAATCCCATGCCTCCCACCCCAGTTTTCTGCTTTTCTTCTAATTTTGGTTGCATTGGTTTTTTTTGTGCAAAAATTTTCAATTTAATATCAAAATTATCCATTTTATATTTTGTAATGCTCTCTGTTTCTTGTTTGGTCCTAAATTCTTCTCTTCTCCATAGATATGACAAGGAAACTATTGCCATGCTCACCTAATTTGCTTATGGTATCATCCTTTATGTCTAAATCATGTACCCATTTTGACCTTATCTTGGCGTATGGTGTGAGATATTTGTCTGTACCCAGTTTCTGCCATAATGTTTCCAGTTTTCCCAGCAATTTTTATCAAATAGTGAGATTTTGTCAAAAAAGTTTGGATCTTTGGGTTTATCAAACATTAAATTACTATGGTCATTTACTACAATGTATTGTGTAGCTAATCTATTCTACTGATCTACCACTGTATTTTTTAGCCAGTACCAGATTGTTTTGATTATTACCACTTTGATTACATTTTAAGATTTGGTATAACTAGGTTACCTTCCTTCATATTTTTCTCACTCTTCCAGATGAATTTTGTTATTATTTTTACAGCTTTAACATAACATTTTTTGTAATTTTATTCATAGAGCACAAAATAAATAAATTAATTTAGGTGGTATTGTCATTTTTATCATATTGGTTTGGCCTCTCCATGAACAATTAATATTTTCCCAAGTGTTTAGACATGATTTTATTAAAGTGAAAAGTGTTTTGTAATTGTGTCCACATAATTCCTGGGTTTGTCTTGGCAGGCAGACTCCCAAGCATTTTTTATTGTCTATAGTTATTTTAAATGAGATTTCTCCTTCTCTCTCTTCCTGCTGGATTTTGTTGGTAAAATTTAGAAATGCTGATCATTCATGTGTTTATTTTATATCCTGCAACTTTGCTAAAGTTGTTAATTATTTCAGCTAATTTTGCAGTTGATACTTTAGGATTCTTTAAATATACCATTGTATCATCTGCAAAGAGTGGTGGTTTTGTTTCTTCATTGCCTATTCTTTTTCCTTCAATTTTGTTTTCTTCTTTTATCGCTAAGCTAGAATTTCTAGTACAATATTGAATAATAGTGGTGATAATGAGCATCCTTGCTTCACCCTTGATCTTATTGGGAAGGCTTTTAGCCTATCCCCATTATGGATAATGCTTGCTGATGGTTTTAGATATCATTTTAAGGATAGCTCCAGTTATTCCTGTGCTCTTAAGTGTTTTTAATAAGAATGAGTGTTGTATTTTATCCAAGGGGTTTTTTTTGCATCTATTGAGATAATCATATAATTTCTGTTGGTTTTGTTATTGATATGGTCAATTGTGCTGATAGTTTTCCTAATATTGAATCAGTGTTGCTTTCTTGGCATAAATCCCACCTAGTCATAGTATATTATCCTTGTGATATATTGCTATAATCTCATTATTAGTATTTGATTTAACATTTTTATATCAATACTCATTAGAAAAATTGATCTATAGTTTTCTTTTTCTGTTTTTGTTCTTGATGGTTTAGGTCTCA